CATGATCTCAGGGTCCTGGGATCGAGCCCCGCATCGGGCTCCTGCTCGGCGGGGAGCCTACTTCTCCCTCTGCCTGCTGCTCCCCCTGCTTGTGCTCACACGTGCTCACTCTCTCTCTCACAAATAAATCCTTTAAAAAAAAATAAAAGTTTTCAGGCTTATTAGAACTCGAATCAACATCGGTTCGTTCCTTCACCTCCTCAACTGAGGTTTCTTGAGCCACAACGCCATGGCAGGCAGGATTTTAGGCACTGGGATGCAGGCAATGAATGAGCAGGCAAAGCACCCATCTTCGAGGAGCTCACATCCCAGTGGGGACACGGAAAACGGACAGTATATTCAGGTCAGGAACGTTTTGAAAACCTGGAGGAACAGAGCGGGTGGCGCAGGCAAGCTCTTTCGGATGTGTGGTCAGGGGAGGGAAGCCTCTTCAAGGAGGGACATCTCCGCAGACCTGAATACTTCCCTCTGAGGGCAGATCATTCCAGAAGCCGGGGGCTTCCAGAAACAGCAAGGAGGGAGAGAGGAAGGAAACCGCAGCTCCACCACATCCTGGCCCGCGGACCTTCCGCAGCCTCCCTCGGCCTATTTCCTCCAACTGGACGACAAGGCCAACACACCCACGTTGTAGGGATGCTGTGACAATTGAGCGACAACACGAATACACACTTGGGTCACAAGAGGCAACACAATGGAGGAAATAAGCGTATTATTAATCTCTTCCAGGCACTCCTTGAAGGAAACTGGAAGAGACAGGTCTGAACTCGTGAGTGGATCTGCTACCTGATGATGGGCTGGCCAAGAACCAGGATGGAAATGTCAGGGACAAGGCTCCACAATCCTAGGGGTTTGGGCTCTAATTGGGGTTTAGGGCTTGAACCCTTGGGGCTACTCAATGGGCTCCGAACTGACCGCCCCCAGAAGGTCTCCAGAAGTAAGCGTCTTCACTTTACACGTGAGGAAAAGGGGCCCAGAGAGTCTGGGGGCAGAAAAAAGAAAGAGAAAGGGAAACCTAGCCAGCAAGCCCTGGAGCCAGGGCCAGACCCCAGGATGGTGGCACCAGGTCGCCTCCCACAGAACGGTCTTCCCCCTGCTCTCCTGCAGCACTCAGCACACCCCTGCATTATGGGTGTGAGGGCACCGCCGGGGGACTGCTGACAATTGAAGGAGTGGGGACACCCACGTCAACTCAGGAGTCCCCAGCCTGTGAGGCACAGGGGAGGCCTTCAGGAACCACCGAGCAAGCAAGGGCCGCCGGGGACTTACAGGAAGGACTGGAGGGCACGCTCCTGAGGACACTTGAGGTAGCAGACAAGCTGCACGACCTGCCATATGCAAGAGCAAGTGGCAACGGTCCCAGCACTCCAACTTAAGACCCTCCCCCGGCTCCCCACTGCTCGTGGGACTCAATCCAACGGAGGGCCCTCTCCAGCATCCTCCGGCTCGGCTCTCCCCCCTGCCCAGCCACCCTTCCACCGGCACTGCCCACCGCCCACACTACACAGTCCCTTCACCCCTCACCCTCAGCTCTGCCGCCGCCTGAGACCGACCTCTCTTAATAACACCCCGACACAGCCCCCTCCATGCCCCACCTTCCTAGCCCTTGCAATGTGCAAGTGAACGAAGTTCATGTGTCCGTTCATGTCGCCGCCGTCTGTCCTCCCCTCGGGCCTGGGAACTCCTCGGGGCAGGCTCTTGGCTTCTTTGCTGCCTGACATACCGGCCAAGGTTAGCACAGGGCTGGGGGTCCTGTCAGCCTGTCCTCTTGGCCCGTCCCCAAGCCACGCAGCCAGCACCGGGAGCTGCAAATAGTGCTCTGTGCCCCATCCCCATCTGGTCTCCACATCAGGCAGAGCAGCCAACGGGAGGGCGGGAGACCCCAAAACAAAGGATACAAGCAGCACACGCAGAGGGGAGGGGTTACAAATGTTAAACAAAGGCCTGGAGAGGGGGTGTCCCTCCAGGGAGCGCACAGCCACCCAGCCTCTGAGTGCCATTTTTCCAGCTCTTAAAGTAGCAAATGCATTACAATGTTAGCAACTGGACACCTGGGTGGCTCAGTGGTTAAGCGTCTGCCTTCGGCTCAGGTCATGATCTCAGGGTCCTGGGATCGAGCCCTGCATCGGCCTCCCTGCTCAGAGGGGAGTCTGCTCCTCCCTCTGCCCCTCCCTCATCTCGTGCACGCGCGCTCTCAAATAAATAAAATCTTTTAAAAATTTTAAAAAATAAAATGTTGGCGACTATGGTCAGTGAAAGGTAAGGAAAGAAGCAGCTGTCACCCTACTGGCAACACGGTCACTCCGAAGACGAGACGGCTACTGAGAATAAGCCCATGAATACGGGACTCACCTCTGGCCCGCTCACCCTGCACCCCACAGAATTTACCACAAAGGAACACAGAGCAGAAAAAAAATAATGTACTCCAAGCCTGGCGCTGATTCTCCTTTTTCCTTACACTGAGTGAAGAGACTCAGCAAAAACAAACAAACGTGGCTGGTGCACCCCCTTGCCCCAAAATCATCTAGTAAACTGGACTATTACATAGTCATTCAGCAGGATGACCGGGGAGATGAAGAGGGGGAAAATGCTAGCAAATAATGCTGAGAAAGCAGAATGCAAATATTAGCAGGTTGGTAATAGGCACTATTTACGGACGCTCAGCTCTGACGCAGATACTCTTCTCAGCAAATGATGGGTGCTCGGGGCATCCCGGTGTTTGGGTACGGAAACAGGCCCTGAGAGGCTGGAGAACCCCGGGGAAGCCTGGGGAACCGGGCGGCCGGCTTCAGGGCATGCCCTCCAGGCCGGGACAGCACAGGCGGGCTGCAGTCCCCCCGGCCCCAGACGGCCCTGCACACCCCGAACACAGACACACACTCACCCGCCCAAATGGCAAGTGCCCGGAGCTCCAAACTGTCTTTACTACTCGCTAAGTGACTAATTCTTCCCAACAGGCTTTGTGTGTTCTTAAGTTCCAGAGGGCCTCGTAGAAAGAGCAGGAATGTGAGCCTGGCCACGCCGTCCTCTTGTGGGCACTTCATGACAACAAGAATATACACCCAAAAAGCCCAGGACAATACCCTGTGCCACTTCAGAGGCACCCAGGAGGGGAAGGCTGCTTGGCAGAGGACTTGTCAGTCATGGCCAAGCACTGAGGATGAGCACCAAGGTGGCCCCCTGTACCCATGATGAAATGGAGCCAGGGAAGGCACCTGGCAGGGTGCGAGGGAAGGTTCCCTGCGTCACAGAGAAGAGTTGGGGCTCCTCTGCCAGGCTCCACGGGGTTTTTGAGAGTCAAGCATCTCCCAGGTCAAAGCCCATGTGCTTCACGTGCTGGGATGGAATTCTCAATCTGGAGTTGGACAGCTCTTTGGACACCGTTCTTGGGACACCCCAAGACTGAATGAATTCCCCCCTCCCCAGCCAAAATTCACATGTGAAGCTCTAAACTTCAATGGGACTGTATTTGGAGGTAGGACCTTTAAGGAGATAATTAAGGTTAAATGAGGTCCTAAGGGTGGGGCCCTAATTTGGAAGGGCTGGGGTCCTCACAAGCAGAGGAAGAGACACCAGGAATGCAGAGGCAGACAGAAAAGGCCATCTGCAAGCCAAGGACAGCCGTCTCGCCAGGAACCAACACTGAGGTCACCTGGACCTCCAGCCTCCGGAACTACGAGAGACTGTTGCTCCGGCCGCCCGGCCTGTGGTGCCTTGTCACAGCCACCCCAGCTGGCACCCTGGACCCCCAGACAGGCTCGCTCTTCTTATTTCTCTGAGATGTCACAGGGGCAGAGACAGGATGAGGGGGACACATCAAAACACCTTCCACCCAAAGTTTCTAAGAATCCAGGTCTCTCATAGGGAACACACACAGGTGACACAGTGCTGTGTCCAGAAGGCTCGCTGAAATTGCCACCGCCCCCTGCCCCAGGAAGCACACCACCACCCCCCACAAAGTCCATCGATACGAAGTATCAAGGGTCAAGATGTGGGTGTGGTGACACATCTCGAGATTCAAGTCATAAACTCTGGGTAGGTCCCTACTTGCCAAAGATACCAAATAATAAAAGTGGACTGACATTTCTGGAAGATCGTATGAGTAAAGACAAGACGAACAGCCGACATCTTGGCCAGCAGCACGACAACGGACGACCGTAGTGCGGATGTCCAAGCAGGGCCAGCTGCTTCTGCGGGCAGAGCCACGGAGCCGCCGACAAAGCGGACCGCGCTCAGCAGGGAGGGAGAGGCCTCACCCCCAGGAGGAGGAAACCCGCCTGGAAGCGCACCACTGCATACCCACTGGCGTGCACGAGGTGTCTGCACCCGGACAAGTGGCGAGGCCTGGTGCTCAAGCCCGCAGTCTCCGGGGGCTGTTCTTTACAAGACACACAAAGTAAGGCAAACCCAGTGTTGTCTGTAGCAGACACACCTCAGAGCCAGAATAAAGTCTCAGCCCTCTACACGAGGTGGAACCCACTCAGAGAGAGAGCACTGCAGAGGAGAAAGACGAGGCGTGAAGGAGCAGGGACTCAGACAAGGGGCTTCTGTCCCTTCTCAGTCCCTCTGGTTTCTTCCAGGAAAAAGATCTGAGTTTAGCACAAGCATATCCCCAACCCCCTCGTGCTGCTGCTTAGTCGCCTCTCCTTACAACAATGGGAGGGGGTCTCAGACAGAAGCTGGGCCAGGCAGAGACATCCAGGTGGACTCAATACTGGTTCCTCTCCAGCGTCTTTATTTTCAGTTACCTGCCATTTCCGTCAACTAACAGAGGCTCCCCACTCACTGTACTCAGGTGAAGTTCCCTTTTTCAGTAAAGGCATTCAGGTTTTCTTAGGTGTACCCTTTAAAAATATACACACACATTACAGGGTAAGTACTAGTACAGCGGTAAATAACGGAACTTTGGAAGCCAGTGACTTCAGTGTTCTCCTAGCCCGGGTGCCCCATGCGTATAGACGCACAGATATCCGCTCGGCTGAACTCCAGCCTGAGGAGCGCCGTGATGAACTGCACACTTCCACTACACGGAGACAGACTTGTCGTTCCCACTGCGCCCACCCTACAGAGTCCGCTCACTTCCTTCTTCATTCCCAACTCAAAGAATGCCAGTTGGCTCCCAAACTCCGCTCTTGGGGGGGCTCGGCTCCCTAGCAGCCAAGGGAGGCCATGGGACTGATGCTGGCCACGCCGATGGGATACCGTGTGCGCCTTCTAGGACGGGGCCTCATGACTGGGGGAGGGGGTCACCTGTTCTGTACCACAGACCCACTCTGCAGGCCGGTGAAGCCCATGGGCCTCTTCTCAGAAAAAGAGTTTAAAATACATAAAACACACAAGACTACAAAGGAAACGGATTATGTTGAAAAAGAACCCTCAAAATGTAAAAAAATAAAAGTGACATCGGAATATGTACAATTCCTTATTATTGCATTGAAAACTATTTTCCAGCACAAACAACATTCTGAGATGTTGTTCATTTCAGGCGCCTGTGACTTCCATCAGGGACAAAGTCACCCATTTTGCTAACACTGCTATGGTTTCTACAGTTTGTTGCTACTTTCATAATTGAAAGAAATGTAAATTTCAGGAAGAGGCTAGAGAAAAAAGTAGTAATTTCTTTCCCTATGCACGTTCAGACCCTGAATCCTACCTATGGAAATGGAGGAAGTCTCTCCTTTGCTCCCTCCTCCTTCTTGCTACCTGGGATAAGAATGGGATGGCTGGAGCTAAAACAGCCATTTTGGACCACGAGGCAAGATGGAAGGAGTCTCAGTCTCTGATAAACATGGAGCCACATACCAGCCCCAGCCTGTCTACCTCTGGAAAGAGAGCTACAGTTGGTTTATTCTTTATCATATAAAGCCACATGAACCTAATCTTGTTATATCTCTAATACTTTTTCTCAGTAATAAGGTTAGAAACCATTTGAACCTGATCTTTATGAACCTTCATTATTCTTTGAGAGATACACTCTTCCTTCCTCACAAAAATGATCCCTCCAGAGCTACAAAGGAAATCCAACTAGCACAGTTCCTCTGTAGCTGACGACCTTCCAGGAGGCAAACCCCCAAACCTGGAACAACAGAAGTTTCCCTCTAGCTCAGTGCTGCTCCATCTCTGAAGCATGTCCTTTACAGTGTGCACACACCCAAGCATTATGCATTAACTGCAGCTCAGGAAGCTTAGAAGCGCACACCACACTTCAATTCCATTACCAGGTACACACACACCTGACTTTACCCTGCATTCTGTGAAGTCCGCAGTCACAAAGGACCAAGTCCAAAGACACTCCACTGATGTGCAGGCCCGAGGGTCACCAGTATGGGCGGAGGACATTCAGAAAGTACTTACTAACTGTCATCGACTCTGGCATGGAGGCAGAAGGTAACAGGCTGCTCAGAGGGCTTCCCTGGCAAGGAGGACTGGCTTCCACACTGGGAGAAGGCAGACAGAAGAAAGTTACAATCGGCCACTCAAAATACACAACCTCACTATTCAAAAACCAAGCAGGTGCTAAGTGTACTCAGGTGCACCTGCTAGAAGCCCAGGAGGCAGCCCTTCGAAATCACAGGCAACCCTCATCATGTGCGGATTCCCTACTTGCAAGTTTGCCTTCTTGCCGAAGTCTATGTGTGTCCCCAAAAATCCATACTCAGTATTTGTCTAAAATAAACAGCAAAAAGGACTCTGCGTCCTGGAGGGACCTGGTGACCCCAGTCCTCCCTGACAGTGTACGAACTGTGCAGGAACCTATAGGCACGGTCAGTGTCAGAGAGCAGGGCCCTATCCGTAACATCAAGTATGCTTCGGGGTCATCAGTGACGCCCACCCTGGACCTAAGGCTGAAAATGCAGATGGGGTCTATCCCTACTCACTGAAGTTTGGACCAAATTAAAAGCACGAAGAGAGAAAAACAACTGGAAGAGTAACGAGGATCCTGGTGGTACTGGGGAGACTTCAGTGTCTATCTGAGCTCTGCCACCCAACATCCAGTGACTTTGAGCAACTCAGTTTCCCTTTGAGAGACTTTTATTTGAAAAGCAGAAAACCGATATGGCACTTACAACCATATGCCAGACTAAGCACTTCTCAAATATATGAGAGCTAAGTGGTTCAGGTATTATATAATATTCAAGTCTTACATTATTGTGATCAAATGCTAAAATCAAGCATAATGGGAGAGGAGGCACCCAGGTATGGCCCCCAAACCGTAAAAGTAAAGGTGGTTTGCAAATGAAGTTTGCCAAACACCGTCTCTCACACCCTTGGCAACTTCACATTCTATGATGTAAGCTAAACCTGAACATAAATGTGAAATAAGGCCTTGACCTTGAATCCCGGCAGGTGCACCCCTATCTTTAAAAGAGAATAAAATGCACAGTTGTGACCAGGACAACTCAATCCCAAAGGCAATTTGGCTCTGGAATACTAACCTGTACCGGGGGCCGGGCTCCGGGAGAACGTGGTCCTCCGGTCCTGTCCCGTTCTCCAGGCTTCCAAGGGGGGCATCTGTGCATAGAGAGCAGTTGCAGAAAGAAAGTCAGCTGTCTGTTTTCATTTCATGTTCTCCATGAGGCAAGGACACACCACAGACACGGGCTCATCTGCTCATCTGCTACATCAGTCGGCTTACAAGTGTTTCCTCACCTGCACAATAGATTTTAATCTGCTACTTGTTTCGTTTTTTTGGCCATCATCTCAGATTTGGCATCAGTCACTGATAGGAGGCCCCATCCTCCTACTTAACCTTTTTGACCTTGAGCCACCTGGAATTGTGCATGAAGTCCATATTCAGAGCCAGCCTTAGGATCAGGGAATAATAATCAGCTTTCTGATAGACAAAACCCCTCTCGCTGTAGGGGCTTAGGACAGACACAAGGGGGCAGCATAGTCTCATCACCGATAACGTCTGTCTGCATCAAAACCAAGTGCCCTACCGCTTTCTAGAAAGCCGCCTCCCCGCGCGGGCTGTGTGTGGGAAAGGCATTCAAAAGAAGGGAGACCACAGATAATCTCTAGAGGCACTAAGGATTTTCATAAATGTACTAGCTGCCGTTCAGGTCTCTTTCCAGAAAAGAGCGCGACCACCCCTGGGCTGGACGGTGCCACAAAGGCCGGTATCAGCCAGGGTAACACGTGCCCTTTGGAGACACTCCCGGCTTCTCAAGGCCGACTGCAGAACCAGGCCCGGATGGGGGACGCATCTCCGGGGCCCTCAGCTCCGCGGCTGCCTCCCTGCCATCCCTCCTGTTTTCGCCTGAGTTTCCTCCTGCTTGAGATTCCCCAGCTCTTAAGGGGCTGTACTCAGGGAATCCTAAAGAGAATTTTCTCTTTTTTTCACTGTTTTTCAATACTGCTGTCCCCACTAAGCTATTCCACTCACCCCCCCCCTTTTTTTTAAGAAGTTCGAAAGGGAAACAGCAAGTGTCTTCCCCCTCGGCCTCCCCTGCCTCCCTCCTGAGTGTTGTGGTTAGTTTCCGGGTGCAGGCCCTGCCTCCAACGTTAATTGAGCGCGAAGCTGCCTAGCCTCTTTGTGACTCGGCTTCCTCAACTATGAATGGGTAACACCAGTGCCTGCCCTGCGACATTTTAGTAATACCGACCGCATGACTGAACTCACGGTTTAACACATATGCTTCAGCGGGAACAGTCACTGCGTGCTAAGCGCAACTTGCTCTACAACCCAGCCCGCCTACCACAGCCCCCACCATCATCACACACACGCACACGCACGCACGCATACACCACCCCATCGTCTTTTCTCTGATTCCTTTGTGAAGGTATCTCTTGCATGGCGGCTCAGAGGCCCCTGTCCCCCTCGGCAAACCCAACAAGGTCCTGGCCCCACCTCTGGCTGGGACCTCAATCCTGCATCCTCATCCACGGGGCTCGCCACCTGCCTGAAAGCTCCACTGGGATACCCTGCAGGGCCCACCACCTGATCACAACCGAGCAAAGCACTCCCTTCTGTCACCCCGTCCACGGGACCGCCACCTCCCTCCGGGTCCCCCAGACCGGCCGGTTCCACTTCATTATCGGCCACTCCTTGTCCACGGTCGTGTCCACTGCCACCCTAGTGGTGAGGCTCCATACCTTCTAGGGGTCTCCCGCAGGGGGTCCCCGCAGTTCTGTCTCACCCTTGTTAATCCAACTCACAGCTGTTGGATTCCTCTCCCTGAAGCGAAAACGGGGACTCCAACATGCACAGCAGAAATCCACAGCTGGAGGAAAGGCCATGGTCACCCACCAGCATTCCAGATCCCAGGCCTACTCGGCCCCAGTGATGTCCCACCATCACACACCCCCGCGAGCCAGGACACCGCAGTGGGCCTGACGCGCTGGGGCCACAGAGTGAGCACTCACGGGGTCACTCACCCTCGAGGTGCCCTCTGAGGCGCACGCTACTATTATCTTAATTTTACCAGATGTGGAGACAGCCCTGAAGGATTTCAGTGATCCGTCCAAGATCGCAAGCTGACGTGTGAGGGTCTGAACCTCACTGTGCCCAGGGGCAGAGCAGAGCCCTTCCCCACTTCATGGTCTCTCACACAGCTGATCTGAGCTATGTGCCTCTCCCTCTATGGGTCCTTGGACTGCCTGCCCTATTCCTCTGTTTATACTGTGTCCCCACCTGGACAGCATTTTTCCAACTGCCAGGTGTCCACTCCCTTTGGCATGCCCCATCCCCATGCACTTGGTCCACCCACCGCTCACCCACTCAGCAAATGACTCTTGAGCCCTGCCCCCGCACCGTGGACTGGCTCTGGCCAGGGTCAGGGTCACACTGGAACCAGGCAGACACGGGCCTGCCCTCACAGACCTCAAAGACTAGCAGGGGGACGGAAATTATCAGGTTACAAGCTCAGGTCAGGGCACTGGGGACACAGGAGGTTTCTGGCAGTGTGAACGTGAGGCCGGCCCACTGGGGGGAAGGGGCAGAGGAGCCCTTTATGAGCCAGCACCACTCGGGCTGCCTCCTGAAGGATGTGCACAGGGGGCAGGAGGAGAGAGACTGGAAGTGGACACAGGCTGGTGTGGCTAGGGGCGTCGAGCTACAGAAAAATGGGAGGAGATCATGCTGCGCACTGAGCGTGGGTCTGGGGGGCCACAGTGAGGATTCTGGATTTTATCCTCAGGGCGCTGGGAGAGTTTGGAGCAAGGGAATGATGCAATTTGATTTATGTTCTAAGAAATCACTCCAGTTGCTATAAGGAGAATGGCCAGGGTAGGGGCAGGGGTAGAAGCAGGGAGAGATGTTGATGTCCCTTGTCCCCTCCTTGCCTGCAAAAGTCTGGGCGGTGGAGGGGGGAGGGGGTGAGTGTTTACCTCTGGATCCTCCCAGAGCCTAGCACGGTCTGGCACAGAGCACAACCACCCACTGGCTGTGTAAAGAAATCCATGAGCCCTGCATGGCACACGACCCACATGAGTGGGGTGGAGACCACACACCACGCAGGCGGGGTGGGCACCACAGTATCCTGACATTCCAAACAGTAACGCTGCCCTCTGGGAGCCACGCTCCCAGATCAACCATCTCAGACGGGAGCGATGGTACGAGCCTCCACAACCTCACCGAGCAACCCCAAAGACCCAACGGTAGGACAAGAGGTGGAAGAACATTACACCTGACGAGGAAATGAAAGTGCGAGGACCCAAGGCTTCAAATGAACAAACAAGCTCAGAAACTGACTCTGAATTTGCTCAAACCCAACACTAAAGCCAGGACCCTCAGTGAGAAGAGGAGCAATAACGTTTTCACGTGTGCAGTGGGTAGAAGTGGGTGTTTTGTCACCTCCACTGAGTATCGCAGTGCAAAGAAACTTTCGGGGCTCTCTCTCTCTTGCAGCTTCAAAGAGATGTCAGTAAACGTGCTTTGCTGTTTGCAGATAGTAGACATGCTCAGAGGAGTTAACTGTAGCTAATCCTCCACCCGGGTCTCGTGTGACCCTGGCCAGTGTCTTCCTTCTCTGAGCCTCTAACCCCAGAAATGCAGCTCCAAAGCCGGGCCCCCCAATCCACCTCATCCAAGAATCAGAAGGACAATACTTCTGTGTTGAGAGTCCCCTTCTCTGCCACTTTCTCCCTCCCCTGATTTAGCTACCAAAAACATTCATCCTTCTCCACCAAGTGCCTCCCTCCCTCTTCTGCTAAATGCCCCCCAGGGCAGGGACGCTAGAGGCACCAACACTTTCAAAGACGATGGGGAAGGTCTCCTAAGGGTAGAGCCCTCTGTGTGCAAAGCTGTCATTAAAGACCAAACTGGCTCCCCGGCTAGAATGAGAGGGAATAATTTGTTAACCTTGATCAAGTGGGAGGGTATCGATCGGAAGGGACACCAGTCAGAGATGAGCAAAAGAAAAGCAGTCTGAGAGAGAGCTGACAATGTGCGCCCACAGCTGCCCAGGGAAAGGCCTCCCAAGGAAATGGGGATCAGGCCAGGAGGGACTCGAAGCAACCTGGCATTCCAATCAGGTAGCCGACTCCCCCAGTTCTGATTCCAGTATCTTCTGCAGCCCGAGCATAATTCGTCTTCCTATGCAACTCCTACCCACAGCGACTTTGCCCCTGAGGCTGTCACAAGCTTCCAGGACTCCTGGCGGCTTTGTTACTATAGTACATTAAAAAGTTGGCAGACCGGCTCACACACAGCATCTCTGATGAGGATAATCAAGATCAGCTGGAGCTCAGGGTCCCACGAGAGCAACAAAATGAAGCCTCTGGGTCTGGAAAGCTGAGAGGCAGAGGTGGGACCACGGGAAAGCTGCCAGGAGGACGCCCTCCCATGAGGATGCTGGAGGCCGGCCAGAAGCTACTCTCCCTGAAGACACGGAAGGAAAGCCCACAGAGGGAGGAAGAGCGCTGAGTTCTATAAGACCAGACCCAACAAAACGGCAGAGAGCAGCGCCCCAGGAGCAGCCGGCCCTCGACCCCCAGGGTCTGACGGTTGAGAGGAGCCCAGCTAAGAAAGGAAGGAGCCACTGGAAACAAAACAGAGTGACAAGTGCAGGCACCTGACAGCCCAGCGACCACTGGTCCCCTCGGTGGGGAGGGAGACAAGGTCGCCAGGTGGAAGTCACGTGGTCCCAGAGGGGGGCCAGGACCGCCTGCTCTCTGCAAGCCCCCCCTTCTCAGGCACCCTGTCCACGTGTGCATGCACTGCCCCTGAACGGGCCATGGCAAGGTAACCAAACCCCCCACTGGCCATCGGGGCCCCGCATGGTCACCTGAGGGAATGCAGCGGCTGGTGCCGGCCTGGCTTGCAGACACCAGCCCGGCCCACCAGCCCGGCCCGGGACTTCAGTGGAGACCCAGAAAGAAGTGCTGGCCAGTATGGGAGGCCGCGCGGCTGAGGCCAAACGGGGAGGGGGCAAGGTGGCGAGAGAGAGCAAAGCCTCTCCAAGGAAAAGAGGAGACGGGGCAGACCCCATAAGGAGGTGTGGGGCGCAGAATCGGGGAGACCCAGGAGCGCCCTCTGTTCCGACCAGCGGCTCCCGGTCCCCGGACACCCCACAGCAGGCGCCCCGCCACCGCCGCGGTGCTGAGAGCAGGCTTCACGGGGCCTGAGCCGCTGCCTGGCACCCTGCCCCACAGCACCTTGGGGAGCCTTCACCACAAGTCTGAGAGGAAGGTGGGGTAACAGTGGCCAGCCCTTCCTCACAGGCTGTGGTCGAGAGAGGATGCGTTCGTCCAGACGGGCCACCTTCCAGGCCTGGGCTCACTCCGAGGGCTGCCATTACCAGGCATCAGCCGCACCTTCCAGAGAGGAGACCCGCCTGGGAGACTGAGTCATTTCGCCCCACACACTCAGGAGCCCCGGTCTCCGCCGGAACACTCCCGCTGGGAGAGGTGAGCCGGCCTGCTCAGCTCCTGCGGCTCCTGGGGCGGGGCTACCTGACCCCCACTCGAGACAGCTGCCAGTCGGCCGCCCACCTGCCCCTGAGCTCCAGCTCCTTTGAGCGGGTTTCTGTCCGCCCCCGTGACCAAAAAGACAGTCTGTCATCCGGTTCAGACTGTCAACAGCTTCCTGAGCAGCCCAGAAACCGTTATGGTTTCTTAAACCTGGCCCTGGGAGGGGGAGAAGGTGCCTGTGTAGGGGCTGGGTTGGGGGGCACTGGGGTGACGGCTACCCAGCGCTGCACTGTGCCACTCGCCCACGGAGCTCATCCACGTCCCCTCCCCCTCTCCCACCACTCCCCGTGACCTGCTCTAGCTCAAGAAAACAGTAACACGAGAGCACACTCCACCAAATGGAAGGAGTCGGGAACGCTCACCACTCCACAGGCAGGTTCTGAGCAAGCTGCTCTCTGAGCCCTCAGCACTTGGCGGCAAAGGGTGCGGGGGCTTTTAGAGCTATGAGTTCTGTAATGTTCCTCCCTAAGAGGCAAAATTAATGGTCACCACTTGTGGTCAGCTTGTACGTGCCCAGGTCCCAAAAAATCACTAGTAAGGAAAACAAACCGGTGTCGGGGCTCCTTCGTGACTCGTCAGCTGGTTTGGCCCAACCCTTGCTCGGGTGGGAGCACCTCAAACACTCTGGGTCAGCAAGAAGACAAGCCAGACCCTCAGTCCCTTCCAGTCTCCTGCCCTGAGCCCCGTGCCTCTTGGCTCCCTCCCGCCAGCAGAGGGAACCCAGCACGTGAACGGAGGGAGGGAGGAATCAGGAAGCACCCACCTGCAGGGCTGTAGGAGGCCACTCCACTGACCGGAAAGAGGACGTCGGTGTCGCCGTGTAGCACCTGCAGAGGGGCCCAGCTGTGCATCTGGGACAGGCGGGTGTTCCCATCCAGTGGCCTAAGCGAGAGAGGACAGCTGCGTGACAGATCGAAGAGCATCCGAGGGCTCAGACCACCACAGGCATCTGCTGGGCCTCCCTCAAGTTCCCTCTCGGGAGTCAGCCAGACCGTGACGGGGCTGAAGATAGGAGGCCCAGGCTGGGAACAGGGCCATGTGGCCCAGATCGGACCTCACGCCTTCATTCCTCCCACCAGTGCTCACTGAGCACCTACTATAGGCCAGGCTCTGGGCTCACATATATTCTGTGCTGGCCAAAGAGCCAAACGGTGTTCATGCTGCCCTCAAGGAGCTTACAGTGGGCTGGGGGACCAGGACGTGAATCACACAACCCCGCAAGGAGATGTAAGACAGCAACTCAGAGTCACGGAGCTGGTCAGCAAGGCCACGGCAAGCAACCGTGAAGAAGGGAGGTGAGAGGTGAGAGCTGCAGGTGAGAGCGCAGGGTGAGTGGAGTGAAGAGGGGGACGGACAAGGGGGACGCAGCACGTGCCGAGCTCTGAAGCAGGACGAAGCACAGGGTCCCAGGCTCTGAAATGCTGTCAGCCACGTGACCTGGGGCTAGTGTCCCGTCGCCTCGCTGGTTCTCAAACCCTCATTAGTAAAAGAGCAGAATCAGACCAAAATCGTGTCTGGGTCCCTTCCAAGAAAGGGGGTCAGCTGAACCGTTAACCGGGCTCGCGTGACCTGTTACGGCGACACCTCATCCACAAAGTACAAAAGCAACCTGGACCATCTTTGTCGCACCCGCTGGTTCAGTTCAGTGTGTGTGGGAAGGTTTTGCCCACTGCAGCATTTGCTGCTGGACAGTGGAAACATTAATAAATACCAGGCTGAAGTTGCAGGGGACGTTAAAGTTTATAAAAATCACTCTGTAACTCAGGTGTAAAGAAGTCCAAAGCAGATCATAGCCCTACATACTTAACAGAGGAAGGATGGGAGGGGGGGGAGGAGGAGGAAAGGAAGCGGGGGGGAAAGGGAGACAAGAGGTCCAGGAGGATGTGACTTGTCCAAGTTCAGCATCCTGGACGGAACCGAGGCTTCAGGGTCTGAGGCCACGTCTTCAAATCCAATTACAATGGGCTTTCTGAATGCTGCCCACCGTGTGGCATGATGCATGTAGTTTTTCCTTAGGTTTAGATCAGGGATCAACACAATTTTTTTGTAAAGGACCAGACAGGAAATAGTGTAGGCTTTGTGGCCATAAGTATTCTTCTTTGCAGTTGTTAACAGCCCTTTCAAAAAACTAACGACCATTCTTAGCTTGGGGGCGGATCTGGCCCATAGGCTACTTTGTTAGGCCTTTCAGAAAGAGGCCACTTAGAGATTTTCCTTTCAGCCCTCTCTAGCTTTTGGTCAGATGTTTGGCTCTGAGCTACAAACGGCAAATAATCCTAACAGCATTTTGCAGAATCCATCATTTAATCCTGCAGGTCACACCCACAGTGGGCCCCTCAGGAGCCTGGGGTGGGGCAGCACAACCACACTGGGGCCAGGTTCTGGGGTGAACTTGGCTGTGTCTCTACAGTCAGCAAGCCGCCCTCCTGGGGCTCAGATCCAGCAGCTGGTGACCAGGGGGACTCCCAGACACCCCGAGGCACTCAGGGCCGCCCCTCAGGAGAAGGCAGCAAAACCACCCATCCTTTCCTGGGCCACTGCACCGGCTCCAGGCGGGTGGGATTTTCCACTGTTTATTCTAAGGGGAAATTCTGCGACTTCCCAGAAACGCAGAGTGCAGGTGAAGCCAGACCCCATCAGCTGAGGTTTTAGAACCCAAGCAAAAGTGCCCAAGGGCCACCACCCCCAAAACAATTTACACCGAAGTGATTCCTAAGATAGAGACCAATCCTGTCTCTTTATTATTAATCCACAGTTGGCTTAATAATAAAAGGTTTTGCTTTTCATTAGAAAAAAGAGACGCTTATTTTAAAACCTAGAAAATGCCAAAAAGAGGAGGGGGGCGGGGAATACACCAAAAGCCACACCAAAAACAAAACTGACTTAGACACTCTTTCCTTAGTGCTTCTTTCTTCCTACACATACTTTTCTTTAGGAGGTCGTAATGAAACTCAGTGCAGGATTTATAGTTTGCTTTTTTCATTCAATATTCATTCCTTTTTTTTTTTTTTTTAAAGATTTTATTTATTTATTTGAGACAGAGAATGAGATAGAGCATGAGAGGGTCAGAGGGAGAAGCAGACTCCCTGCCGAGCAGGGAGCCCGATGTGGGACTCGATCCCGGGACTCCAGGACCTTGACCTGAGCCGAAGGCAGCCGCCCAACCAACTGAGCCACCCAGGCGCCCTCATTCAATATTCATTCCTAAGTTCATCCTAACTACTGAGATACTCTTAAATGTCAGTGAAAATGTTCAAGATCCTACCGGGTCATGGATGGAACTGCTGAATCTCTATAGCGTACACCCGAAACTGGTAAAACACTGTTACCTGTACTGGAATTAAAATTAAAAACTTAATTTAAAAAAAAAAAAAAAAGATGTTTGAGACCTGAAACGTTAGGATGTTAAAGTGTAAGCTACAGAGCAGTCGGCTATTGACGGAGGTCAGCTCCAGAGTTCTGCTTCTGGAAAGGCAGACTTTGGTATCTAGACGCAGCCACGGTCCGGAGACTCTGTCCTCAGGGCACATTCCCAGCAGTGGAACTGCTGAATCAAGCAGGATAAACATTTCTAAGGCTCCTGACATCGTCGTTGTCGTGTCAAACTGTCTTCCCCAAGGGCTGTCAACACTCCTGGCCATCTGTGAGATCTGTGAGGACACCCCTGTGCACCAGCCTGGCCCCGTCATCCACCCCACAGTTGGCGCCGCCTGCGTGCCCGGAAGATACCACACAACTGAGGACACGCTGAGAGCAAGCCCTCCCCCAGGGTGCTAACCCAGGGCTCGCCTTTTATCCAGTTCTAAGTTGTGGCAAAATACGGTGTCTGATGGCATTCTCCATTTGTTTAACTGCTAGTGAGGTGTAATGTTTGTCCCTATGTTTGTAATTCTTTTTGAATTATGTTCCCTTCTGGTGTCTCTTCCCTACTGGTGTCAGAGGTCACACAGGAAGCGACAGAAAAACCCCTTTCTATAATAAAGACATCATCCTCTCTTAAGAAAAACAAAAACAAAATGCAAAGCAAACACTGGTAAATATTGAGGCGGGAGGGACAAGATTTTTCCTTGGTCATCAGAGGTGGTTTAATTGCCAGCAAACAGAAACATAAACCCAACTTTTGGCCAACAGAGCATTTCAGAGACAACTGGAGCCCTGCCGTGGCCAGAGGCTGTCGCATCCACAGTGTGCTTCTCCTGGACAGGCCACCTGTCCCTCACAAACCTGGCGGTGCTGTTCAACTGCTCAGGTTCTGGCCCCTCCAGGCTCCTAGACCTTTCGTGTGAATGTTAGCTTAGAATGAAAAGGAAAGGATTACTCAGTAGGCCATGTCATCATTCCTCTGCTCCTCCCCAAGATGCTCTGCAGAACGTTGTATCGAGATCCCCCCTTACGCCAGGGAGAGGCTGCCCATAATCTGCAGGAGGCCCAATGGCCTCGAAGGACCCGGGCCCCTGAAGAGGTCACCCTGCACTGTTTTGTGTGTTACACATCACAATGCCCGTGGCGGCTACCCTGGCTCACAAGCTGGCCTCCTCCTCAGGCCTCCCTCAATGGCACAGTCCGGTAGGAAGAAAATGATTATGTCTGAGGCCAAAAACAGAGTAAATCAACTCAGAGACGCACTCACCCACTGACGCACAGAAACTCGGCTACAGGCCACGGTGGCAAGATAACCTGATCCAACGTTATTCACTTTTAGATGCGATGAACACTTCAGTCACTGGACTTTGAGTAGATGAGATCACTCTCCCCGGTTTGGCTGGGCCTTATCCAATCAGCTGAAGGTCTTAACAGGAAAAGACAGAGGCCCCCCAAAGAACAAGAAATTCCGCCAGCAGACAGCCTTTGGACTCAAGCTGAAACTCCTCCCTGGGTCTCCAGGCTGCTGGTCTACCTTACAGATTCCAACCTGTCAAGCTTCCACAATCACGTGAGCCAGTTCCTTAAAATAAATCTAGACAGACAGATATGGATGGACAGACAGTAGTTCTGCCCTTTATCTACAGAGGATACGTTCCAAGGCCCCCAGTGGATTCCTAAAATCCCAAAACTGCACCCTATATTTATGCTGTGTTTTTCCTATCCATACACACCTATAATAACATTTAATTTATACATTAGGCACCTTAGAGATTAACAACAATAATAAAATAGGAGGGGTGGTGCAGTTGGTTAAACGCCTGACTCTTGGTTTCGACTGTGGAGTCATGCTCTCAGGGTTGTGGGATCGAGCCCCGTATCAGGTTCCCCTCTCAGTGTGGAGTCTGCTTAAGACTCTCTCTGCCCCTCCCACTTGTAGTCTCTTTCTCTCTCTCAAACAAAATAAATAAAATAGAACAATTATAATAATCTGCAATGAAAGGTGACATGAATGTATATCATAAAATATCATACTGTACTGTAGTCACCCTTCTTGTGATGACAAACTGCCTATTTGATGATGAGACAGGGAGACTGAAGGACTCCATAAAAATCTGCTTTTTGGGGGTGCCTGGGTGGCTCCAAGAAATAACACCTGGGTCCTCATCTTTGCTCTCACTGGTTGCTGGATGCCTGAGAGGTGACATACACCAGACCACTGTCCTCAATAAAAACCCCCAGACCCTTTCTGGGTCTCCCAGACACTCTGTACCTGCACTCTCTCTATGCCTCCAATAAACTCTGCTTTTACCTCCTGCTGGCTCGCATTGGATTTCTAACCTGCATGCACCCAGGGACCCCCTCGGCTGGTCCTGTGGGACCCCCTCGGCTGGTCCTGTGGGACCCCCTCTGGGTCCTCAGTCCCAGCCTGCCAGCATCAATGAGATGAAGTGGGGTGAATGACGTAGGCCAGGCTACTACCGACCTTGTGATGATCCATGAGGAGGAGGAGC